ATCTGCTTTCTTGGGAAGCAACAGGACCACCGTGGTGCACACTTGATCAGGCAGCCGACCAGCCAATTCCCACCTTCTGAACATGTGGCACATCTCAATGACCCCTTCAATGGGCAAGTTCTTCAGCAGAGCATAACTAATGCCATCCGGCCCGCATGCTTTCTGTGGAAGTTTGCGGAGCTTCTTCATCACCTCATGGGGATCAAGATCTTCCCAACTGCGTGCCTGGACAATTGCCTCCCACCTGAGGCGTTCTCTTTCACCACTTTCCAGCGGTTTAGGCAAAACTCCCCATCGTCCATGCCATTGTTGCTCCCTCATGAACTGCCTCTGCTGAACCGGCACATCACGAAAGGGTCGCACATGGACATTGTCCGGGGCCTTCAAACATTTGTAGATGCCACTATGACCACGAAGCTTGGCCTGCGAGAGCCACTGCTGAAAGTCACTGGCTTGCTGCTCGAATGCTGTCTTCTTGGCAAAATCTCGATTGCACTCAGCTCCCTTGATGAGAAGAGTGACTGGCGAGGGATCTCCAGCAATCAGGGCTTCCACACCCAACTGAAACTCCTGGTGCCCATGAACATCTTGCCACCGCACAGCCAGGTCAGCGGTTTTGGCTCGCAAGTGCGCCAGGGTTCTGGCTCCAATGCAAGGCTTTGCAGCAATGTGGTAAAGCAATGAGCAGAACTGTCCCCAATATGCCAGATCACCTTTCTTCCAAGGGCTCAAAGGCTTAGACATGGGAAGAGGCTTGTGTTCAATGGCCAGGTACCACCCACGTCCAAACTTGGGCTCATGCAACCGTTGTAAACCAAATTGCTCTGCCTGGTGACACCACTCAGCATATTGGATTTCTTTAGGCCCTGTTGGCCTGCCCAACCAGAAAACTTTCGGAGCCGCCTGAAAATCTTCCCAGTTGTGAACTTGGTCATCAAGCTTGGGCACAGCCATGTACTGAGTCAACTGCGGCAGCACCAGCCGTGGTGCCTCCTGATCCAGCTTGATGTTCAACGCCGCATGAGGTTTCCAGGGCACATCCCAGTTCACCTTAATGCTGATGAATGGCGCCAGAGATCTGCTTGCCAGGACGTAGTCAATTTCCGCCCCACTGATCATCGTTGGCTGCCCAGCACACACAACTTCTGCCTTCAGGACATTGAGCAAGTTATGTCCTTCCCACTGCAATGGTGGCACTTGAAAGTCACCTGCAACTATCCAGGGCGAAGCCAACTCTTGCAGAAAAGCCGCTAGCTGTCCCAAGACCGTGGCATTGGCCTGGGAATTCAAATCTTCCCCACATTTCAGATACAGCGTGACCAAGACCAATTCCATGTGTTGGCGTTGAAGGACATTCGCCAAGAACCCATTGCCATGGAGATCAAATGAGTGTAGCTTGTAGGCAGATTGACCTTCTCTGACAGTGAACAATTGACCTCCACTGTTGCCTCCTCGGCCAGTATCACATGCTTCAAGCAGGGTTGGCTGCCATCGGTGCCTGCACAGGTCATTGTGGGCGGCTTCAATTTTGACTCCATTCAGATGGGTTTCGACCATCATGACAATGGAATGATCTTGCTGTATCATCCATTCTTTGGCATCCTTGGTCCATTGGGTGATGTTGGCATAGCAAATGTCAATCTCCTGATTCGGATGCCTGCCCTTTTTGGAGGGCGGTTCAAAACTGCCAACCGTGGTGGACCAAAAGTTCGACTGCTCTGCTCGGGAGGCCCAAATCATGACTGCACCTTGTTTGATCAGCTCCGGCACAACTTTGTGCACTTCAGGACGTTTGCCATCATCCGCCAGCCAAACTGCTTCTCCTTCAACCAACAGAGTTACATAATGCCCAGAGATGAGTTCTTCCCCTTGGTGTGCTATGATGCCACGCAGAACAAACGTGGAGTGTCCTCCATGCCCGGACTGAGTCCTCTGTGGGCACCGAAAGGTGGAAGGGGTATGCAACAAGTTCTGATGCTTCTGCCAAGTCTTTGTCTGCTGACATAGGGAATACCTCCCAATGTGGAAAACAATATGTTCCACATCCGGTCCCAACATTTGACCATTGGCCTCATTGGCCCATTCAGCCAGCAGGTCTTCAAATTGCACCTCAGTCCCAGCTTCAGGCGGCATCCTGATGAACAACGGAATGGTGTCAAATTCATGCCATCGACCCCCAAAATGTGAGAACCAACAGCCTTGAAGACCACATTGACCCCACAACTCCCACAGATGAACCAGAAACTCTGAAGCATCGTGTTGTTGTTGCGGGTTTTCCAGCCGGGCTATGGCCGGCTGCAGTTCAGACGCCCAGAAAATGTCAGGTATGTCATCCTGCTGCAAAATCTGCATGCACAACTTCGTGGACGGCCCCCAAAATTCAGCAGGGTTTGGATGGTGTGCCCCCATCCAACACCACATCCTCAACACAGCATTGGCGAAACACCTGTTGCCTTTGTTCTGAATGGTGAGGGTCAAATTGGTCGCCAAGAGTTCAGCCGCTGGTGGAATCTCAGGCTGATGATCCACCGGTCTGCACAACATCAAGCTGCTTTGAAGCGCCAATCGACTACGGAGGATGTGCTTTAGGGCTTCAAGACCCCAGACCCTGGTCTCAACCATGTCAAAGTCCCTATCCTCTCGACAAGCAGCCGGCAATGCTTTGATGGCATCCAAGGCTCGCTCCTGCAGGACCATCAACCACTGCTGTAAAATGCCAGGGCTGGTAAGCTCCGTCGGATCGTGCTCATCTTCATCTATCCAAACTTCATCCTGCCTAGCACGCTTGCCTCCACCCAAGAAGGCCACCTTGTCTCCGGCATTACTCTCCTTTGTTCCGTCTCCCATAGGAAGACCCAGATTTAGAGTCCCGATGGAAGCAGGTCCAGGTGTCCCCGGCCGCTCTGTGCTGGTAGAACTCGGTGCTCCAATCAGGTCTCCGCTTGGGCTGTGTGAGCAGAAAGATGTCCCCATCTATCCTCCAACATCTTTGTCTCGGAGGGCCGGAAAACCTAACTTCCTGCTGCTCAACCGTGCTGCTGCTGTCCTTTTGCCCAGGAGACCCTTGTCTCTGTGTGACTTCTTCCATAGTTGGCCCACTCAGCTCCCCCGACATGGCCGCCCGAGGAGCTAAAGCATGAGAAAATTGAACATCAACACCAAGGTCAATGTCAAAACACCCCTGGTCCTGGACACAAGGAAATGGATTGTCAAAATCTTGCTCATGATGCACATACGGCTGCATTCCTTGATGCGGCACATGCACCAAATCACAAGGTGATTGCCCTTGTCCAGAGGCCATGCTCATCCATGCATCCAAGCAGTCTCCCACATCATTGTCCCCTGCAATGTGAGAGTGTGCACCCCAAACTGTCAAACATTCCCAATCGTTTGACGACCCAAGTCTGCTAACATGATCAGCATTCATTTGTCGCTGCCAACAGGACCCCTTCACCATTGGCCGCATCATCCCCTTTTTCCTGCCAGGAAAAGTGCCACAGCTGGGGTTACCCACTCAATGGGATCTCAGCTGCCGTCTTGCGCCTCTTGGCAAGTGTCTCAGCAAGGTTCCTCTCCAACTCCTTTTGCTGCTCTAGAGTGAAGATGATTCCAGCTTGACCCATTGCTTTCATCACATGCTCAGTGGTGTCTGGGTCCATCACATGCTCAGCAGGCGGCGTGTCTGGCAAGGCTTCGTCCTTGAGCTGCTTGGCATAGGCTTCTGACTGGTCACCAAGTGTCTTATGCTCTTTGTCCAAAGCCGCCTGCACTTGCTTGAGCTCATCCAACAAATTCTTGTACTGCTCCTTGGCCTGATCAACTCTCTTCTGAAGAGACTGTTTCTTGGTGGCCAGCTGCCGCAACTCGCCCACTGTCGCTTTCAATTGACCAGTGACATCAACATTGGTCATAGGAGCAGGGGCCAAAAGTCCTTCAACCACATCTTTGACTTCCTTTGGAAGGGAAGCCAGGTGAGCTTTGAGAAGTTCTTCAAGTGGCTGAGGTTCCGGTTCCGGCGTGTAGTCAAGACCCAATCCTTTCAGGGCAGCTTGGCATTCGGAGGGCAAGGATGTCCAAGCCTTCTTCAAGGTCGTCTTAACAACATTGGGACACTTAGCCTTCCCCATCAGCCCTGGTGGAGGCTCAACCTGCTGCCGGCCTCTTCCTCGTGGCTTCTGTGCCCGTGGGCCGGGTGTCCAGCCATAGGAACCCTGATGTCCATAGGGCCATGCGGTGCCGCATTTGTCACAGTTCCATCTGGTGCTGGAAATCCTATCTCTCCAGATCCATGGCTCGTTGCACCCATGGCAAACGCAGTAGGCCCTCGCTTTCTTCTTGGGAGACTCCCATCCATACACCATCATGAACCTCTGTCAGGCCACCTTCAATCTCGATAGCTAGCAAAGGCACGGCCACCAATCAGGTAGGATTGGACGAACTCAAACACAAGGAGGAAGTGCCAGTGCCACCGTCCAGCTCCGTGACAGGTAACCCGGCTTGAGCCACCTGTTATTTGAGCCGAAATCTTGAGCCAACTTCTTTCTTTCTTTCTTTCTTTCTTTCTTTCTCTCTCTCTCTCTCTCTCTCTCTCTCTCTCTGTCTTTCTCTTTATCTCTCTCTCTCTTTCTTTCTTTCTCTCTCTGTCTTTCTCTGAATTTATCTGTCTTTCTTTCTTTATTTATTTCTGTCTGTCTGTCTTTCTTTTGTTCTGTCTTTCTTTCTTGCTTGTCTCTTCCAAGTATTGTTTCTTGATGTATGTTTGTGTTTTTATTGATCCCTGATTGTTTTTTGGTTGATCCCTATTTGTTTTTTACTTCATCCCTATTTGTGTGTTTTTTTATCCCTCTCCCGATGGTTTGGGTGTCTCACAATAGCTCCATGGAACACACGATCCGCAATCCGACTAATCCGCTCGCCACCGGATGGAATACAGGGTTGGTGTTGAACAGCTACTGGTAGTGCTGTTGATTCGCCTGACTGCAACCAGCAAATAGGTTCGCCTGGGCATGCTCGGCTGCCTTTCGCTCGCGAGCAAAGTCCACAATGCCCGAGTAGGTGTCCACATTGGAACCTGAAACGATGAAACGTGGAAATCGTTTGATCTTCACATCAATCTACATCTCCCAAATCATGACGGCGATGGCAGCAAAATAGGAACTGTGATGGCAGCGATTCGTTTTGAGCCCAAGTGGACATTTACAGAGCCATCCGCTGAAATCCGGAGATTGATCAATACTCATCCACAGACCTAAAGGTGATGATGTGCTTTGGCGGGAAGAAAGTTGGGAAGAAAAGAATCAGGAGAAATGCAATGTTTGTCTCAGCGGCCCCACAAGAGGTGAGCAAAAGCCGTAGGAGAAGCACCACCAACTCCGTTAAGCGAGGCAACATTGAAGCATAGAGCCTCCCATTTTCAGGAGATCAAAATTCCCTCAACGCCAAAACAGGGCGAGCTGCGCTACATGAAGTTGCTTTACCAGCTTCAGTCTCCATAGGCTATAGGCCACAAACTCGAATCCACCCACAAGTGACAAGTGGTGAGCAAGTGTGAGCATGTTCAATCTGATGCAAGCTGGTGTTTCAAGACCGGTCCATACATTTTTGCCTTGATCAAGCAAACTATATAATGAGTTGAACCAGCTTTCTGTAGAGCCTGCCTGTGCCAAATTGCTGCAGAGGACTCATCTGAGTCCAGCTTGTCACCGCCTATGGCTGAGAGTCAGAAACAGCGTCCAAACGTGCTAGAATGACTCCCACGATGCCGAAACTCTGCACTGGTCGCATACCCGGAGCAAAGAGAACAGAAGAGAAGAGAAAAGAGAGGATGGATGGAGGGAGGGACAGAGAGAGAGAGAGAGAGCAGAGAGAGGAAAAGAAACATGGAGCAAAAAGAGAAGAGAAGGGAGAGAGAGGAACGAAGGGAGCAAAGAGTGCAAAAAAAGGACAGAGCAAAAGAGAGAAAGGGAGAGAGATGCAAGTTGCTGACGTCTCAGCCCAGAGTTGTGTACAGTGTGGGATCAAGGTTCAACAAGTTCAGCGAACCGCACAAAATGGAACCTGACAAACCACCGTCTGGCGCCTGAACTACACGTCAAAAATCACGCCCAAATCATGAGAGGCCAATGGAAACAAAGCAGTTGACAGATCCCAGGCATGTGTGAAAGCACCCAGTAGAGCCAAAAGTTTCAAGCGCATATATATATATATACCCTACCATAGCGTCCAAAAAAGAACAAAAGGCAGCACATCTTGGTGGGCAAATCCCTGCACACGATGGAGTGAGCCCTGATGGTGTGAGCCCTGTTGTCTTGCAATTGACACAAGCTGTTCAGTCGTTGTTGGTCAAACATGAGGTCTCTGAATCATCTAGTGTGGCCTCGTGAAAGAGCAAGCAACTTCAAACTATGCAAAACTCCAAGAAGCCAGTCACCGCAAACAAGAACACAAATTAACACAAGCCTCTAGCAACCGGCGTGGCCTAAGTCGCTGCCCGCGCCGCACTAGGTCACCAGGTGCTCTATGAGCAGGCTGTGAAACAAAGTTCTACTCCTGGCTTGGGGCTCATTCTCAGGAATCGGCCTTTAAATCTCCTCTTGCCACGTCGAACTCCAAGGGCACCTGCTAGGCTCGCACTCGCGATGCAAGAGCAACTGATAGCAAATTATACTGTACACCATTTAACATCCTATATTTAACTGTTTCTAATTTCACGGTCAGATTTGCGGCACATAGTCTTAGCCTCTGTCACAGCGGAGGCCACGGATAGTTGAGATCGCACTGAGTCAGAGAGGCCTAAGCTGGCCAGCTTCCAGAAATGATTTCAGGATCGGGCCCAGTGAATGTCAGGAGCAACTATTTGGACAAAAAGGGATGCTGTGAACATGTCCGCACACGTCTATCACATGGGCCCCCTTCCTTCCCTTTGGCTATCGGCTAGACTCTCTCGATGATGCACTCGGCATGTCAAGGCCTGGACAGTGACCGAAGGGCCTTTCTAGCTGGCTACGCATGTTCCTGCCGCTCTTCAACTTAACAAAACACACATTGTGTGACTGTTCTTTAGACTTAATGTGGCACACTGCACGCTGCTGAGCAAGCACTTTCAAGGCCCTGCCCTGCCCAAGATTTGCTTGAAACTCTTCTCCAACAGATCTTCTACCTATACCCGCGTATTGTTCACCATGTGAGCCTGGCATGTGTGCAGCTCGCTCGGCTCAATTGACACACGGGCTTCGTCAAGCAGTTCCACGGCTGGGAGGTTCGAAACATGAACCCACCCATTGGCCCATACCACCAAAAAGCCACCACATTGGCAGCCCAAGACTGTTCAGAACACCGTGTTTGCCACATTATTCATCAAGCGCCTCCAGCATGATGACTTTCCAGTGATTCAGGGCACACCTTGCAGACTCATTATATAATGTTCGCTGCACAAAAGTATAGGACCGGAAAACCCCACATGTTAAGAACTTCACCAGACACAGTCCCTGTAGGAAGAAGAAGAAGAAAAAGAAGAAGAAGAAGAAGAAGAAACGCGGTTAGAAAAGAGGGGTGGAGGAAGGATGAGAGTGAGCGAGCGTTGATGGTGTGTCTGGCTGTGCCTGCGTGTGTATGCTTGTGTGCGTGTGCGTGTGCATGGTGGTGGAGCGCGCAAGTGATGGACCACGTGTGCTTGTACAGGACACAAATGTCCTGTAGCTTAATGTCCTGTAGCTTGAAGTCGGCAGCTCGCGGTGTCCTGCTCAAGATCAGTGGTGAACCCAAAATGTCCAAAGTCCAACACTCTCTGTACCCGCACAAAATTGCTATCAAAAAAGCACCCTTTTGAATAGCAACTTATTAGCACAAAGACTAGAGTGAACACGCAACAAGCTGTAGACCTTTCCAGGGAGCACTGCTTCTCTCCGAGTACGTTGCAAAGGCAGTGAGGATGGCCAAGGGCAACAGATCAATATCATGAGAGCCGCCAGACTTGCTGGAACCGAAAACGTCCAAAGTCAAACCCTCTTTATATCCCCGCCCAGTTCGGATCAAAAAAGCACCCTTTTTGGACAACAACTTCTGAAGTGGTGGAGCCCAAAATGTCCAAAGTCCAACCTTCTTGGTACGCGCACGCAATTGCGTGAACATGCAACAAGCTGTACATACACCTTTCCAAGGTCGACCAAGGGGCACCAGGGCGACGCCAGAGCGTACATCCGACCCCCTGGAGTGCTGCGCCTGCCACGCAAATCAAGTGGCGGCGACCCAGGAGCACCAGATCGACGCCAGGCGCACATTGAGCACCAAATGCTGCGCCTGCTACGCAAATCACACCGGCAGAGCGGCGGCGACCTAGGAGCACCAGGGCGACGCCAGGGCGTGCATCCGACCCCTTGGAGAGCACCAAGTGCTGCTGCTGCCGCGCAAATCAAACCGGTTGGTGTTGGTGGTTGGTTGGTGGTTGGTGGTTGTTGGTGGTTGGCGGTTGCTTGTTGGTTGGTGGTTGGTGGTTGCTTGTTGGTTGGTGGTTGGTGGTTGGTGGTTGGTGGGTGGTGGGTGGTGGGTGGTAGGTGGTGGTTGGTGGTTGTGGTGGTTGTGGTGGTTGTGGTGGCGGTGGTGGTGGTGGTTGCTGCTGCTGCTGCTGTTGTTGTTGTTCTTGTTGTTCTTCTTGTTCTTGTTGTTCTTCTTGTTCTTGATTCTTGATTCTTGTTCTTGTTCTTGTTCTTGTTGTTGTCTTTGTTTGTGTTTTTGTTTTGTTTTGCTGTTGTTGTTGTTGTTGTTGTTGTTGGTTGTTGGTTGTTGGTTGTTGGTTGTTGGTTGTTGGTGTTGTTGTTGGTGGTGGTGGTTGGTGGGTTGTTGGTTGGTGGGTTGTTGGTTGGTGGGTTGTTGGTGGTGGTTGGTGGGTTGTTGGTTGGTGGGTGGTGGTTGGTGGTTGGTGGTTGGTGGTTGGTGGTGGTTGTTTTGTGGTTGGTGCTTGGTAGTTGGTGGCTGGTGGTGGTTGTTGGTTGGTTGGTTGTTGGTTGGTTGGTGGATTGTTGGTTGGTGGTTGGTGGTTGGTTGGTGGTTGGTGTGTGGTTGTTGGTGGTTGGTGGGTTGCTGGGTTGTTGGTTGGTGGTTGGTTGGTGCTTGGTGGGTTGGTTGTTGGTTGTTGGTTGTTTGTTGGTTGGGCGGGAGGGCGGGAGGAGGAGAGGGGAGCGGATACAGCACTAAAAACAATAACCCCACACGTCAGGATAAATGAAAAATGTTCGGACTCAGTCCACTGACAACAATACTGCATGCTTTCCTGTGACTACCTTACTCCAAATGAGTCAAACTTTCAACAAACTGCTAGCCATTGGCTGAGAGCGTCACAGCCGGTAGCAGTTCACCAGGACGGGGCCTCAGAGCATGCAGCCCTCAAGGGGAATCCATACGAGTGCACCACAGCAGTCCAGAGCAAAAGGGAAGCGAAATGAAAGCAAACAAGAGCCCTCTTTATCATGGTAGTGGGCGCATTGCTACCCAAGTGTGCCGTGCATGTCGGTGGTTTGGAATCCGATTGAGAGAAAAACATAGAAAAGCTGGTTCAGAAGGGCGAAGATGGTTCCGAATCGTTTCAATTGCCACAAGATTGAGGTCCTGGACAAGTTCTGTCTTGCTTTTCGAGCTGCACGCGGTAGTAGCCTTGGCGTTGCTGGATTCAGCAGGTTCCACATACTGACACACAATGAACACGCACAACTTAGGCTGCACAACGGTGCAATGAGGAGATATGTGGTGGTGATAACTGTGGCAGTCATTGGCAGCCTACGTCAGTCCAAGCACAGCTTTCCAGCTCGGAATCAAAGGTGCGAGAAAACCTGCTACATCCTGCTACCAAATGCTGCTCATTTGAACGTGGTCATGCTCCTTGGGCTGCTTTTACTACGTACCTGGATTATCCTTGGTTCACGCTTTCAATAGCAAGGGCGGATCTGAATGAGTCCTTGATTGGTACCATGGTGCACCATGGAAACACTCAGTCTAGTGTTTCCCCCCAACTCCAAGCGTCCACTTGGTGGCACCGACCGCCCACAGCCGCGTGAACCAGGCATTGCACGAAGTTCCTGCCCAAATCTTGGGCTGGGCAAAGGCAAACTTGCCGATGCTTCACGGAGAACTGAGGTGTTGTGAGTGGCGATTCAAAGGCCTTTGACGCCGGAAAGCTTAGGCTACCCACTAACACCATCCAGCCTCGTATCTGAGGTATGCATCCCTCAGGGCCTGCGGCCAGGTGGGAGAATCAAAGGACCACAGCGGTCTCCGTCAAGCACTCGATGAGTCTTGGCTGTGGCTGGTCATTTGTCGTGCAAATCTAGTAAGTGCGCACGGACGCCCAAAACGCAGCAACTAAATGGCTACCTTGGGACAATATCTTATTTGGGGTGTCCTTGACAATCCTTGGCATATGTGGAAATAACTACGGTTGGAAAAATAATGACCTTGGACTATTGTGGTAGCAAATAACCTCGACTTCATTTTTCAAATGTCGACCCATGACTAATGTGTACAGCACCAAAAAACCCTTGGAATTTAATGGAATATGCTTCAAATTGTCTTTTTTGAATGCTGCATGCTGAATGTCAAACTCGCAAACTATACAAAAAACAAACATCGGTGTTTATAGAAAAGGTGAAAGAGAATCCTTCATGAACTTCTCTATCTAAAGAACAATCAACTATTGTCCAACATCAATCTGTAAAGGGCACCCCGCAGGTCTGATCATAGGTCCGATTCAGCAGCTGACCCTGGGCAAACGTTGAGCACCCCGGCAGGGGAATCCTTCATGAAATCCAACTCGCTAGGGTGGAACCTCATCGGTACAGTAAGGCGGGATGCCGACAATGCCACCATCCTCCCTCTCTCGCTGTGCCGATTCTCCGCATTGTCCAATATAGACAATATAGAACCAGGTGCTTGTTATACTGAAATCATCTTGGAGTCTTGCGCATACGCTGCCAAGAATTCATCCTAGCGCAGGCACAAACGGAAAGTGCTTGCTTCCAACAGGCAACAACGCCTTGTCATTGTAGGCTGTCCACGCCAGATTTTTTGCGTGTATATACAGTGGTTGCAAGCTTCAAGCTGTATACATGTGTACATATATACAGTAGGTATTTACCACGTTCTGAGTTTGGAAATTCTTTGAAGAACGCTGTGACCCTGCCATGTAAATGCAGCACTAGTTTGAGGCTGTTGCAGCGACTTAATACGATACAATAATACGGCGGTGTTGAATAAAGAATCAGCCCAGTAGAGACCCCATCCTCGTACTGGGCTGCCAGCTTCAAACCTTCCTCAACCGCCGCAGGGTAACCACCTCAGTTCCGGATTTACGTACTTTCCGCAGAATCCGTATGGTAGCGTTCCTTTTTTGGCGGAAGACTGCCTTACAGACTCTCAGACATATCTAAAATTGACGGGGCCCAGTGGCACCTCCTCTCAGAAGGACAACATCACAACGCAACTCGCGGCCAAGCTCGGTACTGCCGCCATACTTGGATCGTATTTGCCTGCTGTTGACAGTCTCTCATTGTTTCAGTCTTTGTCTGGGGACCTTGCCATGCATGCTAATCCACCGAGTTTAACTAAAGAAAGGCTGGTGAGATGAACAGGGAACAAACAATTGTCATCTGTCTTGATTACCTGCTACATCCTTGATTTAAACACATGTGTTCACAAAGTTTGAAGTGGACATGCCTGTGCTTTATGTGGGTTGCTGGTGTTCCACTTGGTACTTCCCCGCTTGCTTTCACATGGCAAGCCTGTCTGGGTTTTACATGTTCTACATTCTACATCTTGCCTTCGGTGAAGGTGCAGAGAGGTGAACGCTTGAAAGTCCATGACTCGAGGGCCTGACCATTCGCACGTTAAAAAATGTGAATTACAGTGACTACAGGGACTAGGGCAAAAACAGTGACTACAGGCACCGCAAATTTTCTGAGGTGACCACGCTGGCAGGCTAACGTCTCGCCTGGATGCACGAGGGCTGGTTACGTACTAACGGTTTCACACAAATGATGGGAGGTAACTGCTTAGTTTGTTCATGGTTGTTCATTATGAGGTTATGCACAACATCATTCGTCCACACCCCCTCGACATTGTCATGCATGCCCATACGATCGAGAAATTGCGACTTTGCAAGGTGCAAAGCTGCCTTGCCGCCTTTCAGAGACAGGATACAATACCTGCCACTCAAAGTTCAGAAAAGGGAAGCGACAAAAACAGTGGTGACCACGAATGAGCAGCTAGTTTCTACGTTTTCAACCTTCAACCAGCCTTGTCTGGGATAGAGAGCATGCGCTGCAGCACCCGCAGCAACAGAAGGACAATCTTGGGCAAACGAACAGACCGTGGAATCTCCACAGGGGTTTTGAGCAGCTTACATCTATAATCATCTGTATATTTTTTCTGTGTTTGCCCATTTGGTCCCCCCGCCTTTTTGATGGGTAACACTTTCTCTGTTACCAAGCATGTCATCGCTGCCTGGCATGAAGTTCGCCATGCAAAAATCGAGATGGACATGTCCCATGATGCGGCTGGTCGTTTTGCGCCAAACTGTGCACCGTATTGATTCAGAATGATTCAGAAAGGAAAATCACCACAACTGGTCAAAACACACATGTCTCCCAAGTTTGCACATCAACAACGTTGGCAACACGTCCAAGAGCAAGGACGGAAGGGATGCGCCCATCCGACCACAGCCTGCGTTGCAACAATGCCCTGTTGAATCGTTGAAAAGGAGGGCGGTCTTTATTTTTTCGACAAGCGATGACTTGCTGAGGTACCCGCCCTTGTCTAAGGATTGAACGAATTCAGGATCATGTTCCTTAGAACAAAATCCAGTTGTTCACGTCCAGCTTGTCAGTGGAAGATATGGTGCGGGGAAACCACGGGTTGCAAAGTGCAAACGGGTAAACTGCACCAGCATGGTGTCAACCCATACCTATTAGGGGGTAACGGGCTAACGTTGAAAATTACAATGCACAAGAGTTCTTGCGCCAAGCGCAAGGAACATGTCATGCAACAATGGTTTCGCATTTCAAGGGCGCTGCCATCCGTATTCGGATTGTACTGTGGTTGCTAACGTTACAGTAACCCCAGTGGCAGAGCATCCTCCAAGATCTGGCGGATTCTTTCTGCGTGCACTGTTGGTTTGCACTGTTTTTCACATATCGAATATCGAGGACAATCTTTAAAAGAATAATGAATCAAATGCAATCCACAAATTCTACACAAAACTACACGAACAAATTCAATATCCAGAAAACTGTATGTTCCATAGCCCACGAAACGTTTCAGAAATGTTTACCGATGGCCGATGAACATAAAAGTTTTCAAGTGTCTGCGCATGCTGCATATGTCTGAAGAACCATTTCAATACAACACAACCAAAAATTCGCACCAGGGGGGGGTGTGTATGCGCGCAAGTTGCATTCCGACAAAGAATGAGCAGCATATATACATATACACAAACAAGAATAATATATATATATATGTCAATACCAATGATCACAAATTTTCATCACCAAACCACACAGAAAATGCAGTTAAGAACGGACGTATTGTTTATACACGATAAATCATTCTGCAAATAACCTGTCTGAAATCGGGCGTGCTTATACTCTGCTGTTTGCAATCTTAAAAGGGTAGTCTGGCACTCAATTCTTAAACACGAGGGTGGAGGGTGTGGAAACATAATTGAAGGTTGGACCACCTGATATTTTAAAGAAAGACATGAAAAGAAATAAATGTTTATTTTTAAGTTCAGGCCCTATGACTCTATATAGAGGTTTCAGGTTTGAAGGGGTAATGCTTTTGATTCTAGACATGGTTCGTTTTCTTGTGGCGATCATCTTCAGGCACTTTTTCAGGCATACAACAAAATTCCGTTGTTGGCACCAGGCAAAATACACGTGTGGACACGCAAACGCGCAAATGTTCACAAGTAAAGAAAAAACACCCAAACAATGGATGTATGAACATGTGCCAACGCGTGACTTATATATTAACCATGCACCAAAAAAACAATGTCAACAAGGCAGTTTTTACATGTCGACGACAATCTTCCACCAACAAAATTTAGACAAAGTAAAGTTACACAAACGAGTTCCTTATCCAAGAAGTATGTATGTTCCTTAAGACCACGAAGATCTTCAGAAACCTCTGCCGATGGCCGAATTGTATACTCAAGTGTTCAATTGCCTGCGCGCGGCGCATCTGAAGAAACATTTTAATACATCACACCAAAAGATTCGCAACAGGGAGGGGTGTATATGAGCGCAAATTGTATTTTGACAATGAACAAGATATGACAGAGGTCCAATGATCACAAATGTTTTATCACCAAACCACACAGTTGTAGGTGCATTTCGTACTCGGACAAGGACGGATCCGGACATAATGTCACACAAATGACAAAAAATATTACCACCAAAGAAAAAATGTATTGAAGGACGAAAGAAAAAAATTATACACGAAAGGTGCAAGGAACACAGTAGCCAGAGAGGACATACTTTGAGTATTGGTGCCATCGAAAACACACTCTTGGACACGCAGGAATTCTTTTGCAAAAGTGCGCGAACCAAGCGAATGACAAAAATTGATATCATATCTTACGACCACAAGCCGGAAGCATACATCGAAGCAATGACTGTAAGCACATGTGCCAACGCACGACTCATACACGGACGACACCAGTCTCAAGCAAACAGTTTTTTACATGTCGCTAAAGATTCACCACCAACACCAGAAAAAATTGAAATGCAATCCCAACGTTTAAACAACAAGCTACTAAAACGAGTTCACTATACGAACAACTAACATGTAGTTTTTTCTTTTTAACCACGACGCACTTACGTAATGCTTGCCGATGGCCGACATCTATGCTCAAGTGCCCGTGCACGATTCTTGCATTCGAAAAACATACTCGCCAAAAAGAATTAGTCAAGTGCCAGCTGAAAGCATACACCAAAAAAATCGCGCCAAACACGATATTTAGACATGGGCGCACACAACCTCCACACGGACAAAGAATGACATTGAAAGGACCTCCCAAGGGACCAGTATGAACATGTATGAACATATGACAACAATGACAATATAGCACTACCAAAGGAACACGCACATGTATTTTCAAGGACGGGTGCCTTAAATACACGACGTATGTAATGAATCCAATTTTTTGGTCCAGTTTTCCAAGGAAACTTAATTTCTGTATTCGCCCCACAGAAGCTGCGCGTTTGGACATGCAAGTGCAAAGGCCGAAGGTGCTCAAGAATAGGCAGGACAATGATTGTTCGCCAGCTCACGTTTTTACACGTAGCGGAAATTGTTCACATTCGCGTGCAATATGATCGCGTGCAATATGATGTCTCAGCGCGCGCACATCGCACCAGCGGCACAAATCACAGACACACGACCGAGCCTGAGACACAGCGATAACATAACTGGGACACAACGAGGCCGGGGACCCCACGGCGCCCAGCCTAAGGAGTGTACAACCGCAAATTAGTGCTATTGGGGAAATAACGGGTCGGAATCCGTCCCTTGCATCCCAGTCTGAAACCACATGCATCGTTGACATCTTGGGCGCGCAATTCAGGATTCATGTCCACTTGGATTCGTGGCACATGGTTCCAACAACCTGAAATGAAATGAAGCGTTCCTTTCCAATTGACAAATCCATCATGTCAAACGCATTACTTCAAAAAAACGTATTTGTCTTCTCCTACCCAATCTGTGCGGAAACAACCTTGCACTATGTTCAGTTGGCATCGGGCTTGGCAGCTGCAATATGCAAAACCCGCGCTGGCTCAAAACTGGTAATCCAATGCGCCGGCATGCATGCCTGAGGCCCCGACATTGAAAAGCAGTTGCAAAAGAATGCAATTCAAAATCAGCCGCAACTCGCGTTCATACATGCCACCGTCCTGGGACATCGTCACCCAAAACAGGTTGGTTTTGCCACCGCCCTCACAATCAAAACTGTAAACCCAACAAGCGTTCAAAGCGGGAGAACTCAAAAACGTCTGCCAGCACACACGGTGCCAGGGCGCTCAATTTCGGCCTGCGTGGCATTTGGTTTAGATGAGCGAACGGCACCATAAAGTTTGCACAGGCCCTGGCCACAGGTGGAAAGGCCCTGCCCAGGCTGGGCGCTTAAACGACGAGCCCGGCCCGGACCATGACCCACACACAACGAGTAGGCCCTCTTGTCATCCCATACACACCTGCGAGCCCACCTGCGAACCATGCCAGTGAAAACGCAGCCACGTCGGGGATGGCAAAAGCAGTTGCTCGAGCGCCGACTGTGAAAGCTTGGGCAGGGCCAAGGCAACGTCATGCAAGGCCATAGGACATGGAACACGAGGGTCATGTGCACTATTGTCACGGAGTGGGAATGTGACGGTCATGACAAGTGAACAACACCCCTTCCAAAGAGCACCGGGCCAAACCATCTGCAGTCATGCCTCTTGATGATTCTGACAGCCAGGGAAGACATGTCCTTACGTTAGCCAAGGGAGCAGCACAACAATGGCCAAGGCAGTTCTGCCAGGGAATCCTGCACGGAATGCTGCATGAAATTGGCATCGTTCATGGGGAGGTGGAACAATTTTCATGTCAAGTCTGCCAAACCACCCCCACCCGTCAAGGCAGTTTGACGGTGCCCGCTCTTTTTTCGGCACCGACGGTTTTACTTGATGCTGGCATATGCGGTTGCGAAGGCTGGGAGAGCCACCCTTGCTAGATCGAAAAGGGCCACAAATGGCTGAAACAGAGTTTCTGCCGAAAAAATGGGGGAAGACGCAGAATCATTTCCGGGCCAGGAAATCATGCATCATCATTCCCATTAGCGTCACTCCCTTCCGCCACGCGTATCCTATTTTGACCTATTTTGCGCCACCCTGTCATCATGCCAAGTGCGCGCGCGACCCTTTCTTCTTCAGGTGGCCCCTGCCGGTCGAAACGTGTTGTTTTTTTCCCGTCCGGGCGGTCGACAGGAAGTGAAACAGGATTACACCTGACCGACGCCCCCCGTGCACGGCCGACCCCAACCACGGGGAAAGTCCAAGAGGACGTAGGCCTTATGGCTCGAGGTGGCGAACCCCTCGTCTTGTGCGGCATCCAGCTGTCCCAGGGGAGCCACTTGCGCATCGGTTTGGGGTCACTTGCGCATCGGAAGGCACGTACGCATCGGAGGGGTCACATACACATGGAAAAAAGTGGGTCACGGACGCACCGATGGCACCCCCTTGTGTTCCCATAGCTACTTGAGGCCAAGGGAGAGGGCGAAAGCTAGCGCTCCAGAATGGGAAAGTGGAGGGCAGCGAGGTAGGAAAAAACACGGCACTCTTTTTGGAGGCAGGGGTGAAGAGTCCTTTATATGTGGCTCTTTGCCCGGATCCTCCTGCGAGAGAAGAGAGACGGAAAGACGAGAGACACAGAGGAGAGAGAGAGAGAGGAGAGAGAGATGAGATGAGAGAGATGAGAGAGATGAGAGAGATGAGAGAGATGAGAGAGATGAGAGAGATGAGAGAGAGAGAGACAGTGAGACAGTGAGACAGTGAGACAGTGAGACAGTGAGACAGTGAGACAGTGAGAGTGAGAGTGAGAGTGAGCGAGTGCGGCCGCAAGATACGCAACGCTAACCGCATGCCAAAGAGCGACGACAGGACGGAGTCGAACTTGCGAAGAGGGAGGAGGGAGGGAGGGAGGGAAGGTGGGAGGAAGACAAGGAGGAGGAGAGGGGAGGTGGGGTGGGGAGAGGGGAGAGGGAAGAGGGGAGGAGGGGGAGGGGGGGGTCTTCGACCTGAAAAATCAGGGGTTAGGATTTGCACCCCGTCGAAAGAAACCTTGCTATCGCAAGAGTAACTCCAGCTAGCTTCGCTAGCTTTCGTGACTTGTCCACCCCATTTTATAGCTATAAATCGGTGGGTGCATGTCTGCCTGGGGTATCTTAGCGCTATAAAATTCAAATGCCTGACTTACTATCATACAGGAACATCAATATAGAATCAACTCTACTAAGGACCAGGAGGTAGACAAAGATATTGAGCAGATGCCCAAAAACACAATATAAAATGGGGTGCACAGACAAAACCACCTGATGTCCCCCAAGTTTTTATAGAAATTAGTCCGGAGAGCAAGTCGTGCTCAGATTCTATAGCAATTGTTGATTCAGTCAAAAAATCGGTCAAAAATATAGAATCAAAAAAGAACATGTCAAAATTGTTATACGATTTTTTTGGTTGTTTAATCAATGTTGTATATTTTCTCCATCAATTTGCACTATGATTTCAGAGACATTGATGAAGATTAGTTTTTTTGCCATGAAATCATTTCACTATAAAGTTGCAGTCTCTGTGGCACACAGGCACAGGTCTCTCTATTGAATTATGTTGGTGTTTGGTCTGCGCCACAATTTCTACAAACAATGTGATTGCTATAGAATCATAGACGTCAATTCATTGTCTCTTGTGCTCTCTTCCAAAAGTTCATGCTATTCAATGCCTGAATCTATGCTTGTGAATTTATAGTAGTCACTTTCTGGGAAGCTTATTTCTATAAATCTGCAACACGCCCTCTTGATTTCATAGTGGTAACACACACCAGGATCCGATGGCTATAACATCACGCGCCTCATACACACACACACAGTTATCATCTACGCATTGCCATCCCTTCGTGATCTAAGATTTGCATCTATGAGGGGCGCGGTGGGATCTAAACGACTGATTTGCACGTGGCCACATCATCACATCTTACATCTGTGCACAACCGACACACACAACTCTCTATGATCGTCTATGATCTAAGGACGACCGTTTCCCTGTAATCTAAATTCATCTAAGGCTTGCCGTCGATGGATTGAAAGCAAACGACTTCAACCCTGCGGTACCGTGCTCTGCTATATACGCCAAGTCCTACGAAAACCTTACCCACATCAGCTGAAATCATTGTGCATTGATTCTTCATTACATGTGTACATCACTACTGTTCAGAGTACCTCCCAGAATTCA